AGGTTGTCTCCCTTATACACGAAGGAACAGTTGAAGACAATCCTGTTCTTTCCGTTATGTGTTACCATGTGATGTGGAATAAACCAGGACTCGGCTGCTGCTCTCAGCTCCTCTTCAGAGACTTTCACTCCGTATCCTGCCTTTTCCAGCTTCCCCATCTCCGCGCAGTATGCAGCTGCTCTTTGTGGATCTCGCAACAGGTGCCTCTCTGTACTGCGGAGATTGGCTAGCACTGCCTCCTTAGGTGCCTAAAGCTGTTTCATGTTCTTCACTCTGTGGAGGGGGGTGGTGTAACAGTGGATCGCATCAATGTCTACTCATGTGGTCTTTTCCTCCAACATGTTGACTGCATCCTGTGCAGGTACTGCGGTGCTGTGGATTGGTGCTTGATAAGCTTGATTGGCCCTTGAAGCGTCCAGCCCAACCTCGTCTTCACTGCGACTGGTCCCCCGGGGGGTCCCAGGCACACAGGCTCAACTGGAGTAATAAGGTGGGGGTAATCTGACCCGATCAAAAGCAGCGGGGTCATATTGTTCAGTGCTGGGATAGGAAGGCCTCTTAAGTGCTTGTACTTCCTCTGGAATGCCTTAGACCTAGTTGATCGGCAGTGAAGGCTTTGTGTATCTTGAAGGATTTTTGTGGCTGGTCAGCAGGGGAAATGGAAAAGGATACTGTGGTGCTGTGCAGAACCCTGAGGTCCTGCTGAACTGTTCTGAGGACCAGATCTTCTGGCTCACCAGTGAGCCCTAGTCTCCGCGTTGCTGCTGGAAGGAGAATGGTTCGCTCCGACCCGTCATCTAGGATGGCATATGTCTCTAAGGTGTGTTCACCACTACGCAGCAGCACCTTAAGACCTGACTACATCCAGATCGCCTATCCAGATACAGGACTTCATTTGTTGTACTGACAAGACAGGATGTGTTTTCATTTGCAGAGGTCATGTTAACTTTGTGAAGAGCTTCGAGATGTTTCCCTTTACACTTCTGACACACAACTTTCAGGCGGCACTGTGCAGCTTGGTGTGAGCGACCACATCGCCAGCATCTTCAGCAGTTTTCTGTTCCACTGTCAGCTGGGCAAAGTTTGCACACTGGTCGAGGAAATGCTGTGTGTTAGTGCAATAGGGGCAGTATGCCGTTCTCTCTGGCTGCTTAGCCCTGGGGGACGGCTTCCCTGCTGCTGGCGTGTTCTTGGGCTGGTCTGTGGTGTGATGGATGCTGGTGCTCTTACCACTCTTGCCATTGCAGCGGGTCTCTGCTCTGGGTCCTGACCTGCCTTTATCCTCGCTGTACAGAGACTCGTACACTGTCTCTTGAATCTTAAGCTCATAGTTGAGCCAGTTAGAAAAGTCCAAAAGGCTGGGAATGGTAACTTGCATAGGGTACAAGAACCTCCCGCATGTCTTGAGGCAACTTGGACAGCAACTTTGTCACATGTGACCCGCAGTTGAGCTCGGTCTGTCCGCTGTCTCCGAACTGGTCTAACATGCCCACAAGTGCTCTCACTCTCAGTGCGTACCACTTACCCACTAGTGTCATCAGGTCAGCGATTCTTCTCAAAGCTAACTGGTGGGGCTGACCATAGTATTCGATGAGACTAGCCATAGTGTCGGTGTAAAGCTGCAGTGAGTTGGTGTAAGAGTCCGCTATGAACAAACGCCTCCTCGTACTTCAGGTGGTTCACCAGGATCTGATACTTGAAGCGCTCTGTAGAGTCCGCAGGCAGCAGATTCTCCAGGGCGACCTTAAGCCTGGCAAATTCTCTTCCCCTTTTGTGAGCACAGGGATAGTGGGCCTAGGGCCGCGGTACACCATCTCATAGTGGTGGGGCGTTAGCTGCCTACCAGGCAGTGACTCACTCCTTGGCGGGGTATAAGGTGTACAGTACTCTGGTGTCTGCACCCGGGGCATGGGATAAGATGGCGGAGCACAATGGGAAGTCTGCTCTTGCCGTGGGTGGCGGCAGTGGCCAGTCCTCATCATCTTCTGGGGGCAAAGCATGACCCCTAGGTTGAATGGGCAGCGGGTGCAACAGGGATTGATACAAGCTGTCATCCATCTCTATGTGGTGCTGCCACTGCGGTGGCTCCGGTGTTGGAGGGGGAGAGAGGGCTGTCCGTAGCTGCGGTAGTGGAGTGCTGGTGTTGAGTCGCCTTTGCATGTCCATTATCTGGTGCTACAACCTTTAATTGCCTTTTATTAACATATGAAGGGCTTGAAGGACCTCAGGCGCTGTATCTGTTGTAGGCCTCTGCCTGGGAGAAGGGGGAGTACTCCTGAAAGGGGGGGCTGTATAATCGTGCTTAATCGGGCCACTCAGGGGCATCGGTTAGAATGCAGTCCAGACGAGATGTTCCCTTTAGTCGTTTATTGAAACAGAGGCTGAGTAGGTTTGTTTGTGTGTGTGGTTCTACAACAGAGATAAATGAAATGTTAGTACAATCTCTATGTATATTCAATAGATTAATGCCTTATACTATTATACAATATAACAACCATGCTAAATCACGTTTTCCTTTAGCTGGTCTTGTGACAAAGGCTTAAACCAAAGCAGCTAAAAACTCAAATGAAGAATAATAATAATGTTCACATCTCTGAAATATCTACTCAAATAGGTACAACAATAATAATGCATCATGGTAAATCAGCTAATACTATACAGTATTAAGGCCAATGGTGTAGCTGGAAAAGCACTGGATGCTGCACTTTATACATCCATGTAAAGATATCAATTAACACTGTAATGAACATGGTTTACATTGTGTGGCGAACTACAAAAAATAACCACTGTACTACAATCTTCCGGGCTCGTAAGGCCATACCTTCTTAATATATATCGTTATGCATTGTGCGCCGCTATTATACAGCAACACTAAATGAGCGGCAGTACGTCGGGTGACTTTAACATACAAACAAACACAATGCAAACGTTCTTATGAGGTAAACTAAAAGCAAATGTTTGGTTTACTTACTGTTGCGAACACTATTTCGATATATATACTGTACACACGTCTCAGTCTTCCCCGCCGACGCTCCCTCGCTGTCTCGCGCTGAATATCGGCTATTTACTTTCGCATAGCGGAGCACTGGGCTGTTCCAATTGGTTGCAGTAAAAACCAACCTGTCGGCAGCGGTAGTCCTTCGTCACATTATCTTCACTTAATTGACTTGTCTCTCCCAATTGAACTAATGACAGTGCTTTGCATTTTGTATTAGGAGTTCTATGCTGCTCTCTGCTGGAACATACAATACGCCTCTTCACTTTGTTTTCTGTGATTTTGATGTGGCATGGAGAGTTGGCATGGCATTTTAAATCCTCCATAGAATATTTACATTCACTTTTTTATTAACCAAAACTTTGGTCTTTCCCATACCTTAATAATATCATAAGCAAGAATTGGAAAATCGTTGGCATTGGATATGAAAAAATAAATAGAATTTGAGTGTCCTCCAATATCTACATTCTTGTCTGGTGATATGGTTGCAGGGACACTACCTGACCAGAATGGATCTAGTAATAATATAGTTTGGACCTGGACTGCTTTGGGTCTTGCTTACTAGGAACCGAGTGGACCCAAGAAGACCTCTGCTCTGAACACAGTCTATAGAGATACAACAAATTCACAAAGTGACACAATTTTCTGTCACCTGCTAAGATGAATATCAACACTGCACTATCCGAAATGAGCACAGCCTCCATCACACAGCATGATGTAAATTGAAGTTGTTAAGCCCGATAAGGAATCCATGTAAAAGCCAATGTGCCATTAATGGGACTGGTGTTGCTGTTATTGAGTCTGATTTAATAAGGGAATTGGGATGGTGATTAAGGTCATCTTCATCTTCCCTGCTTCGTCCAAAAATAGTCCTACATCTGAGCTCATGAGACTGTGTGCACTTCCACTTCTACACACTGCTGCTGGCATCTTAATTTGCTTCTGCCGGGCAGGTTTACTCCTCTGCGATCCTTTCCGAGAGGATTATACACCATCCCTATTTTATTCACCTCCAATTCTAATATAAACATTTTAGCTAGTGGCAAAAAAGAGACATCTTATTTGATTCAGTTTTCTTCCCACATAAGGCTGTGTGCTCATTCAGGATGAAGAGAGCACTCACAGGTAAAACCTGCTTAATAATTGCTATTTTTCCACATTTGTTTTCTTGTGTTGTATTTACGCACAGGTCACAGGAAATAGAAAAAGCTCCAATATTTAAGTTATTATACAGGGGTCACAGCTGCTGACTTTCAACCATGACAGAACTCTGTCTCATCATTCCTTTTATACAGCTGCATGCCGCTAAGGCATTCTGCAGATGCATTCAGCCGGCAAGTGACTGCTGCATTCATAAGGTGAAATACCTGACTGCTCTCCCAGGGGTGGGCTATGATTGAGCAACTTTCCCAGTTCTCCAGACAAAACAGCATGGATGGGCTGGACTCTGCTACTGTCTATGTACAAAGAGATGCTGCTCCTAAAGTGATGAGTAAGCATTCCTGGCTCATTATTTTTTCAGCTATAGGCACAGGTTGTCACTTTGGCTGCAGAGTCAAAACTAAAATTCTAGACTTTTTCCTCCAGACTCTCATAGTTTGAGCTCTCAGTGAAGATCTTTATTACCTTACCAAGTTGAGCTTTTGCTGCACACTGTTCCGGTTTTTGACAGTAGGAAGACATACTTGTTCTTATGTATGGATTGGTAAAACAGAGATACAACTACTAACCTGGGTCAAAAAATCTCAAGATTACAAATGAAAGATTAATTGTCTGTCTATAAACTATCATAGAGATGCACGTGCAACCAGAGGGCAGAAAGCAGAACTCTGTCTGAGTTACTTTTTACTTATTACCCTTTTAAAAAGTAATATTACTTAACTTAATACTGGCTATTAAAAGAAAATTACAACGTCATTTGTTACGTTACTATTACTTTCAATCACCCCACCCCATCCATTAAATGTTAGGTTCCACTAAAGAATTCAGGAGAGGACACAAGGCGGATGATAAGAACACAGGCAGGTTTTATTATCAATGTGCTCGAGAAAAACCAGAGGATTGGGTTGGATGCAGAGAATTTTAGACTGAGTGGGGGTCCAACAATGGCGTCCTAGAGCTCTGTTCTGGGCGGACAGATTGGCTGGCAGGCTGCAGGCAAGCGAACAGGTAGGCAGGCAGCGACTCAGCACACAGGAACAACTGTAGGAGACGGAAACAAGACGTTAGGTACTTATCACCCAAATACTCAACAGAAGAAGAAGAAGAAGAAGAAGAAGAAGAAGAAGAAGAAGAAGAAGAATTCGAGGAGTCGGCCAGCGCAATTATACCACTGGAGGTAAACTGACGAACTGGTGAAGAGTGGAAGCTGACTGAGTATTTGACTGCATGGGTTGATTGCTTGATGAGCCACAGGTGCGAGACGCTGCAGGTGGTGATGAGCCAGGAGCCACAACCGCACACGCCCACAAACACACATAGGGTGCTTCTCCAGTCTCTTATTTGTCGTTTCCTCGCTTGAACTGCAAGTTGTTCCGCTCTGCCATCTTGCAGACCGTCCCAGACCTCTTATTTGCGCGCCGAGGAGTGAGGATCGAGAAGTGATCTCTAAGGAGCTATGAGCAAGGATACACCAGTGCATCCTTCGCGGAAGTCTTTTAATGACCGACACGCCCCCTTACTGGGTAGTCGTTGATTGGACGCTGCAGCTGATCTGATACATCAGGACAGATTAAACTCATGTGCATCACTGCAAAGTCTTAGCCTTCATTTGAGTTGTTTTATGATTCACTGTCTAGTTAAAATCTGTGTTCATTGTAGGTCTGAACAATAAAGGCCCCACATACAACTTTATTTATTTATTAGAAAGATCTTTCTTTCTTTTATTTCTCCCATCAACTTTTATTATGGAGACAATTAAAGTCAGAGAGAGTCTGAGGGTCTGTCAGCAAGAAACATGTTTTACATCATTTATCTTCTATTTAGTCACATGTTAGGCTGGTCATTCCTATGTTTAGTCCAAATAGATAATAAGACAATAATAAGACAATAAAACATAGCTGCACCAAAGTTTCTAATGACAGGTCTGGGACAGGTCTCCCTTATCCAGTGCTGTAGACAGAGACACCTTTATTTATTGTGATAACATTACTCAAGTGACAACACAGAAACACGAACAAAACAAAAGGTGTTACCAGCACTCATTGCTGCATAATGCCCTGTTGCTGTGGCATGCTGGAGCTCCTCTACACCATAATCATGTTCTTGGGCTGTCCACAGCGTAAGATCCTGACAAAAAACCCTTCCAGGTCTCTACCACTCACATCAGTTGAAGAGTCTGTCAGGACAATTGTACTGGGTGTATTTAATATGTTTAACATATTCACTCATACCTCAGTGTTCATTTCAATTTTATACACCGAACAGAAGGAAGATGTTACCAGATTCCCCCTAGAATGGTCTGTGACAGGTGCTACTTCGCCACAGACAATCTCGAGTACTCGTACAGCTAACGCTAGCTAAATGAACTAGTCTTGAAAATTAGCTAGCTTACCTGCACTTAAGGCAGATGGTTACATATTGCATACCTTGGCTAGGTTATGTAATGTGGCTTGGTTGCTAGCTGACAGAGCCAACATCTTTTCCGTTCTTCTTGAGAATGGCGAAGGGGTGTTTACTTTTAAAAATTTGGTAAGCAGTGTTGAGTAACTTCTCCACTCACTGGATTGTGTCGTTGTTTGTCTGTTGTGTGTAGACATGAAGTGGTCGAGCTGACGGGTTGTCCGACACCCAATTTGCCAGCACACATTGCAACTGTTGATGCCTCTTATCGAGTTCGTTTTCTGTAGTTATTGGTCCCCTTGAAAAACGATCCCCTTTGGTCTGCCTTGGCAGGGAACGCAGGCAAACCTTCCTCCACCCAGGTGTACTGTGTTTTCCATGACACTAGGAACCCCCTCTTTTAGTAGCCTCATATGCTTCCCTTGATATTTTCGATAGTCTGAGGTAGCAGCCCTCTAAGGCTATCGCTATTTGGTTTACCCCTTCCGCGCGTCTGCGCGGCACTGAGAATTTTAGTCTACGCCCACCCACAGCGTGGGCCTCTCCTACATCCGCACCTTATACATACAACAGTGAGACCTGGCCTTCGGCTCCCAAATGCCTTTTCTTCGGCACTGAGAACCAAGGCCTTCAACTTAGAGGGCTGCGCCTATACTCATAGAAACTGGGTTACAGTACGTAACCCCCGTTATATTTCGTATAGGCATCGCCATCTAAGGCTATCGCTATTCGGTTAGAGGCGAAGCAGGATGAGTCAACGCCTCACTGACCCATACAGTACCACCAAGCACAACTCACCTGCCCAGAGCCATAATGAGCCACCCAGTAGCCCGCTGACCGCGGCCGTGTGCGTGAGCACCGATGGCGCAGCATGGGAGGCCGAGGGCCGACCCATGCGTAAGTCGGGAAACTGGGTGGGGGGCCCCGCAGCTGCCGCTCCCCGACACTGTCCCATGGGAGAGGGCGCACCACACACTCACAAGTAGAATAATAATAATAATAATAATCCTTATTTGTAGAGCACTTTTCAAAAACAAGTTACAAAGTGCTTTAACAAGTGTAAAGAATAATACAAAAAAGATAAGAGCATGAAAATTTAATATAAAATTAGTAAAATACAATAAAATAAAAGGGATAAAATAAAGTCAAATAAGATCGGGAAAAGCTCTCCTATAAAAGTATGTTTTAAGAAGGGACTTAAAAGAGTTCACCGACTCAGCCGACCTGATTTCCTCGGGCAGGCTGTTCCAGAGCCTCGGGGCCCTGATAGAAAACGCTCTGTCCCCTTTAGTTTTCAGTCGAGACTCTGGAACAGACAACAGACCTCTGCCCGAGGATCTCAAGGTACGTGCTGGTGCGTATGGGACTAAAAGGTCAGAAATATAACAAGGCGAGAGGCCATGAAGAGCTTTAAAAGTGATCAATAGAATTTTAAAGTCAATTCTAAAACATACTGGGAGCCAGTGTAATGAAGCTAAAATAGGAGTAATGTGGTCATATTTCTTTGTTCTGGTTAAAAGCCTGGCAGCTGAGTTCTGGACAGTCTGGAGTCGATCAATAGATTTTTGGGTTAAACAGGTGAAAAGGCTGTTGCAATAATCCAGGCGTGATGAGATGAAGGCGTGTAAAATGGTCTCGGTGTCCTTAAAAGTTAACATAGATCGAATTTTAGCTATATTTCTAAGTTGATAAAAATATGATTGAACAAGCTGTGTGGTGTGCTGCTCGAAATTTAAATTACTATCAAACCAAACACCAAGGTTCTTTGCCACAGGCTTAATGTGATTTACTAGGGAACCAGCAGATGGCAGTATTTGATTTGCCATCTGCTGAGACCCGATGACCAGGATTTCTGTTTTGTCTGAGTTCAGCTGGAGGAAATTATTTGACATCCATTTCTTAATTTCACAAAGGCAGTTGTTAAGTGAACTCAGCATTCCAGGGTCTGTGGATCTGACGGGCAAGTATATTTGTGTGTCATCAGCATAAATATGAAAAGAAATGCCATGTTTATGGATAATATGTCCAAGGGGAAGCAGATACAAGGAAAACAAAATGGGTCCTAAGACCGACCCCTAAGGCACACCATATTTAACTGGACAGAACGAGGAGACATAGTTGTTTACAGACACGCAAAACTTCCTATTTGACAGGTAGGATGAAAACCATTCTAGAGCAGTACCAGAGATCCCCACCCAGTGCCTCAGTCTGTCTAACATGATGTTGTGATCAATGGTGTCAAAAGCAGCGCTAAGGTCCAGGAGTACCAGGACTGAGCACATACCTTCATCAGCAGACATTAAAAGGTCATTGGTGACTTTAAGCAGGGCAGTCTCAGTGCTGTGGTACTTCCTAAAACCAGACTGAAACTTTTCAAATAATTTGTTATTTTCTAGCACAGTGAGCAGCTGTTTGGACACAATTCTTTCTAGAATCTTTGCAATAAAAGGCAGTTTTGAAATTGGTCTAAAATTATGTGGGAGGGAGGGATCTAAACCAGGTTTCTTTAAAAGTGGGTTCACGCAAGCCGTTTTAAAATAATCAGGGACACAACCAGTAGATAGGGAGCTGTTGAAAACAGAGATCAAATGGGGCCCAACAGAATCTATTACTTTCAGTAAAAATTTTGTAGGTATTATATCAAGTGGGCCGGAGGACACTCTCATTTGTGATACTGTATCACTCAGCCAAAACAGTCAGTACTGCTGAGTGTATCAGAGAGGCCGCCGTGCAGATGTCGTCCACTGTCATCCCACCGTGCAACGCCTCTCGTGGAGTGCGCTCTGATGGCATCGCATAGCCAGTGAGACAGGCACTGCGGCGACAGGGGAAGTCCCTCGGACCGCTCCCTGTAGTGCACAAACAGACACTGCGAACGGCGCCAGGCGGCCGTGCGCGCCACTTAACAGGACAGCGCTTGCACTGGGCAGAGGAGGTGGGACGTGGCGTCCTCCGCCGACCCATGGGGGGAGGAAAAAAGACAGAGAGGGTGTTGACCCGTGACTGAAAGGAGATCGTAATGCTTTTAGGCATGAATGCTGGGTTAGGGCGCAGAACAACCAAGCTGCTGTCGCCCTGAATCCTGAGACACAACGGAGCCACAGAGAGGGCAGCCAGATCGCTGACCCTCTTGACCGATGTCAGAGCCAGGAGCAAGGCGACCTTAGCCGAAAGGAACCTTAGGTCCGCAGTCTCCAAAGGCTCAAACGGGGCTTGGGTCAACGCGCGTAAAACCAGTGCCAAATCCCTGCGCCTCCGCACCCCCCTAAGGAAACGCTTCACGCATCCGGGCACTGCTGGGGGAATGTGCGTAATGTCAACAGCATCCCACACCGCCCGGCAGATTTCTTCTTCAGAAAAATATCTGTACCGGGTGTGTACCAGTGTTCTGTCCACATGAAGCGAAATGTCCGCTGTCGTGGATCCGCTGGGGGATTCCTGCTCATCCGATAGCAACAGGTCGAGGGTGACACCGTACACCTGTACTGATGTAGCAGTGTCCCGCCCCGCTCTGGCCGACTTGCTAGAAGACGTCGCTCTTCTTTTCCGACAGGAAATCTTCTGCTCTTTAGACAGCTCAGTGCTGAAGAAAAATGGGAGCTGAAGGCCAGGTCTCACCATTGTAGGTGACACCCACCGCTGTGGGTGGCGCGGAGGGATAAACCCAATAGCGATAGCCTTACAGGGCGAAATAACACCGTCAGTTTCTCTCTGACTCCTCCCCTCCTACAGAGCCTGAGGTGGCTGTCTGACACACCGTTTTCATTCATGCTGTCGATATCAAAGCACATGTGAACACATTTACATCTTTAAAAACTTTAAAATCCTGGTTGGATAGGCTAGTTCAATCCAAGCATGATCTTGAACATGACTGCTTTATGATCAATCTCATCGATGTAAAGACAGATGTCCGCACATCGTGGATTTATCCTCAGTCCAGATTAAAATCTATGTCTGTCTTTAGGTATAACACTGTGACAGTTGCACTGAAAACACTTAAGTGTTACTGTGAGCTACATTACTGCAGTAATCACTGTTTAAACTAATCTGTTACCTAGAAAACTGATCAATGAACAGTAGCCTAATCTTTCATATTGTAGTTAGCCAACAG